TTTTATATTTTATATTTTATGTTTTATATTTTATATTTTATATTTTATATTTTATGTTGTATATTTTATATATTATTTATATTAAATATTCTATATTTCATATTTCTTATTTGTCATTTTTTATTAATGAATTTTAATTTTTTTATATATTTGTGTACACCCCATCATTTTCCGTAATCAGTAATATCTTAAGTAATTGTACACATACTTAAAATTGTATGTACTTATATATTTTTGTCTTGAAGTGCTCTTCAGCTGTTTATATTTACACCACTCCCAGGCGTCCCCTTCCAATTGTAACCTTTAGTTATTTATACATTCCCATTGTAATATTCCTTTACGACTAGCCCATAGATTATTGTATTATTATTAAGTTTAAGTTCGCGGCGAGTCTCGCTCAATTGCCATTAGCAAACACATGAACAGGCCGCAGCTGGCACTCGGACCTCGATGCGAGTTGATGTGGCTGTTGATGACAATGGGCACTGAACAGACGGTTCGTTAGTATCCATTAACAGGCATAGCTATGCATAGCAATACTCTTCAGTTATCTACAGTTGTTACAACAAATTGTCAATAAACACTGTATAGTAACCTCACCCAACCCTCTACAAGCTCTGTCTACGTTATTGTCGTCGTCATCGTCATCGTTGCTGTCGTTGTCCTTGTCGGCGTACATTTACCCCTCCACATTTGTCTTGTTTATTAAATAAATAAAATTTGCATGAATTTATTCAGCTATTTGCCAAGGAAGGATATGCATAAGCGCTTTTGATTAGCAAACACACGAAAAGTGCACTGATTCATGCATGATGCGGTAACGCGTGTTGTCTCAAAGTAAATCCTTGGCCTTGGCGTCTGGCTGTCAGCCACACCTAGCGCACAGCACTTGAGAAGAAGACGCATCGCTTGCTCGTTCAGATGAGCTCAGCTTGGCATTTATACCTTGACCCAACCCAACAGACCAAACCCAACCCAAGCCAAGATCGGCTTAGCTTCTCTTTAACTCTGTCCAAGTACTCGTAATAGCGCGTCAGCCATAAGTTCCGATCTTCAAGTTCCAGTCGTCAAACATCATCGTACCCCCCATCCGCCCCCTGCTAAAGTGTAACTAATACGTGGCTGGCCCCCTGGGAGCACGCAAACCCGAATGGGCTGCTGCTCTTTGATTAATGAATATGCCGCTACTGTTTGATACACAAGCGCTGCCCATGGAGGGGCAGCCAGAGGGCGTGGCGCACACAAAGCATAGAAATTTTTATGCACGTTTTGATTTGAATCGCTTGCGGCGTGAATCTTGCCCAGGTCGCCACAGATGCCATGTACAAAAATTATAGAACCAGAAATTATAATCAAGTCGACTTAGGCTAGGGGGCAGCAAGCGGGCGGGACTTCGGGATCACTTGGAAGGTCTGCTGTCCGGACGAGACTCTCAGTTAATCGACTTTAAGTGGTCGTCAGCTCGCATTTAAATGCTTGCCACAAGTCTCTCTCTCTCTACCTCTCTCTCTCTACCTCGACGGCAGACCAAGTCAAATTAGTTGAGTCAGCGTTCAATGCTAAGCATATCATTTGTCTTTTTCGACTCGATTGTTGGAAGTTAGAGAATGCCGCGACGGGGTTCTGTCTTGGGCATCTGTAGCTGCTTATTCTGCTTGTCTAGTCATGCAAGAGGGGGGCTAATTAGCGACAATCATATAGCATACTCTTGCAAAGAGGGTAGTCAACTATTTTTATATTATAACATATAGTCAAAAAGAAATATAATAGATAAATGGAGTAAAAAAATCTCAGAAGTAGCATAAAATATGGGGTATGGTATATATTCTACTTTTACTCCCTTTCTACTATATTAAAAGATATTTATACTTTGCAGTTTGAATATCGAGTTCTTCTTTTATGATTCAAAATTAGTCAAATACAATATATATTTCCATCCCTACTACGTCACTCTAATAAATGTATAAATATTCCATCAAATATTATTATCTATTATATCGTATTTCCTTTATATAAATTCAACCAGTCGATTATTTTGATTAATATATCATATATACATATATATATAAACCAATCTCTTTTATAGAGCATCGAATATTCGTTATATCATTGTCATAAATTTCTTTTACCTGCACTCGAGCTTTTGTTTGTGATTAGTACGAGCTCAATGCCAGCCACTTGGCGGACTTAAACGCCCAGCAGTTTACTTGACCAGTTTTGTATCTCACAGATACATTCCAAAAAATAATTCACAAATACATTGCATAAAATGTACCAGAGCTTTTGTTGCAACATTTTTCTTCTATGTAGTTTTTGGTTTTTTGTTTTTATAATTAAGCCAAATATTCAAATAAATTATCAACTAGAACAAATTGCTGTCGCAGAGAGCTGAGGCAGGGGGCGCCGCCTATCAGTTGGCTCTGCAGCTGGCACAGTAGCCGCGAGCTCGCTCGGCTTTTGTGCTTGTCGCATTGTTGCACAAAAGTTTTACATGATAATAAATTTTGTGGGCCGCAGCAGCAGCAGCAGCAGCAGCACTAGTAGTAGAGGGCGTGCTGTCTACTGGTATGTGTGTCATGAGAGCTGAGCTTTTTTTCTAGTTTTTGTTTTGTTTTTTGGTGTAAACGAGTTGAGCAAGCGAGGCAAGAAGATGTTGCCATTGTATCTGCTCTGAGATTCTTACAATGGCAATAGCAGACTGCAGAGAGGAGGCAGGAGTACAAGCGTCAGCTATGCATAGTGTTGGGCAACGAACAAAAGCAGAATAGCTTCATAAAGGAATGACTGAAATTTTGTAGAAGATTTGCGTATGCAGCTAAATTGAAAGTGATATCTTAAGCAAATGTTATAAATGAACATATTTCTAAGCGTTTCTATAACTTGCTCAGAATGAAAATGAAATTTTATAGAAAATATGCAAAGAGAGAATAAGAAAAGAAAATGAATAAAGCTAAATTAAATTGCATTTATTATTGTATGAGATTTTGTATATCTAAAAATAATTTTAGATTATGTCAAATTTTTGCCATGGAATTTATTTAGATATAAAATATTTTGAAAATGTTATAAATCATAAATTTTGTATTTATATTTATTTATTTATTTATTTATATTTATTTATTGCATTGAAAATTATAGGATTTGGCATTTTAATTATATGATACCTACAGAAAAAGTCAGATTATAAAAAATAAAAAATCAAAGTAATGATTAATACAAATTTTTAAATTTCATGAGACAGTACTAAATTAAATTAGTAATGTATGTTAGTTATAAATGAGTTTAATATGAATTAATATATTATTTATATTTCAGTTTATTTTACTACTTTTTCATAAGAAAACTGGATTTATAAAAGTCTAGACTAGCACTTAAATATGTTTATTTATGTCTACCACCATCGATAACACGAAATACCAACTAAAAACGCAGTTAAACCAAGCTCAGCTGATTTCTATTAATCATTCATAATTAATTTCCGCACTCGCATATTGCATAGCCTTCTGCTATGAATATATACATATGTATATGTATGTATATATTAATACGTATATATCCATATATTAATATGGATAAAGCTCATTAGCGTACGAGACGAATGAAATTCCTTTGCTTTGCTCCGTAAGCAACGCAACGCGTATAAGATGAATTTATTTTCAATACTCGTTCATGAAATCAGGCGAGTATATTTATTATTGTGCCACTGCTCTAGATATGCACCAAGATTGAAGTATATACGCCCTTGGGGTTGTGACCAAATAGAAGGAAAATAAAATAAATAAACTACAATATATATCTATCTATCTGATTTATGTGCGAATGGTCTCCTCTCCAGCTGGTCCACCCATTTGGGGCGTGGCACATACAAAATACATCGATACATGATTGCCTTTTCCTGGCTGCGCATTATGAACAAGTATTATACAGTCGCTTGAGCTCGACTTCAGCATATTTACTCGATTTTTGTTTTGCTTTTTAAATGTTGGTCACACTTTGTTAATGCAAATGCAAATGCCAAGCAAGTGCTTTTCAATTGTTGTTGTTGCTGTTGTTGTTTGGCATGCGCTTAATATGCAAAATATGCATTGCGATGGCTATTGTTGTTGCTGTTGCTGTTGCTGTTGTTTGGTGCCACGACAAGTTGTGGCTGTCATTTTGCGTGATTGCTCATGCGACGAAACAACAAAAGAAATGAGTTATGAATTGCATCTGTATGTGTGTGTGTGTACTTAGGTGTGTGCCTGTGTATGTGTGTGTGTGTGTTTCGGTTGTGCTGCTGTGTGTATATATTACAGGCTGCAATAAATCTTAGTCAGCTTGGACCACAGGCATGTGCGGAAGTTGTTATTACCCAAACCAGTTAAATGATAAGGCACAAATAGTCGACGATTAAGATCGTACATATACCAGAGATATATAATATATATAGCTGATATATAATATATGTGATTGACGGCAGGCATTAGGTGAGAAACAAGGATAAGGCAGGTAAAAAAGAGCAAGAGTTTAGTTAAAGTAAGTAAGTATTTTAAGGTATTTATATTTTATGGTTTTTGTAAAAACTTAAGAAATTAAAATTCTTATCTTCAAATGAAAATACTTAAAAGAAATAAATGTGTATAATGAATGCATTAATGCACTCATTTTTATCGGGAATCCAGCCTATAAATTTTAAATGAATTATTTTAATTTAAGTATAAAAAGAATTAATAAGAATAAAAAATAAAAAAAAAAAAAACAAATTGTGTGGGAGCTTATAAGGATTATGCGTAATATTTGTATGTCTAGAACTCTTTAAATATTGATATATTTTTTGATATATATTTTATTATATATTTTGTATTCAACGTTCAGAAAAAAAAACGTTTCAGATATTATAAGAAATAAATAATATATATAAAAAAAAAAAAAAATAATAATAATTATAATATCTTTGATCAGCCATGACGATTCTACTTTTATGCTCGAACTAACAATTAAATTAAATATCAATTAAAAGTTCTCTACAAAATGCGCAGATTTAATTTGTTGCCAATTAGCGAACAGTTTCAAATCGATTAGAAACTATATGAAATTTTCGATTATTTAAGCATGTGTGGCACGTCTCTCGTGCTAGAACAAGATTCTCCCGAGTAATACATAAGCTTCGACTACACCAACTACTATTTAACGGTGCGAACATTGCTTAAGCATTCAGAACGCTTCGCTTTTAACACCAAGCCAAGCTGACATAATTATTATTATCTTTACTTTTTAGCACTTGACGCCACTTGCCAGAGTATCTTTATCTTGTCATCTGCTTAGCGAGCCAAGTTAATTTTATTATGTTTCATTTGTGAGTTCCCCAATGAACCCAATTTGGGTTTTTGGTCTTTGAAGCGCCGACGGATGCCATCAGCAAACAGCTGACATATCAAATATTTAATTATCGCATGCTCATTTTATTTTTCTACTTTTTTCTTTCGTTTTATTTTACTTTTTTTTCTCTTGTAGTTTATTTATTCTTATGCTGTTCTTGCTTTTATTTATATTTGCTTTTTTGTGCGACTTTACGAGCGTTTCTCGTGTGCAATAACCTTGCCAGACTTCGCAACAAAGTTGTCTTGACTCGAGTTGACTTGACATGGCTGCTTTACAAAACACAAACCGCGCGAAATCTTAGATAAGCCCCAAATTGCGTTTCTTTTATATGTTTCACACTCTTCTTCAATTTTTTATTTATTTTGATGTTTTGTTTTTCTTGTCGTGGACAAGTCACGGCTAGCATGAAAAGTAACTTCATTGATAGTTCATTTAGTGGCGCTTTTTTTTTATTTTTGGTATTTACAATTCTCTCCCCTCTCTCTCTCTCTCTCTCTCTGTCCTCTGCCCATTCGTCAACAATGTTGAATGTTTCTTTTTAGCTTCCTACATACTCTCGCCGCTCGCAAGGTTAACTTTCACACACGTCTCTCATGGGAATTGCTTTGTCTCCTTTTACAGTTTTGTAATATACGTAATTCCAAATTGATTTTGATATATGTATTTGCAATTTAGTGCACAAGGTTGGCATTGCGACATTTTGAGGTCTTCTTTATGTCTAAATGGTTCTTATCGCTCGACGCTCTTGCCTAGGCACATATCGTATGGCGATTGCAATTGTAAATTAAGTAGACATTGTCATTGGATTTTATTTCAAATGAAATATGATTCGTTTTATGTTTTTATTTTGTATTTATTGTTGCTATTGCACATTTCTATCGAATCAAGCTCTATTGATTTAACGATTGAATTTCATTTGTGTTAAATTTAATTTCTGTTTAAGTGGTTCGCATAGTTAGGCCGTTTCGTTGCGTAACTAAAGTACTTTGAGTTGATCTGAGTTTTTGACATAGAATACAATGAGCCAACAGGATTTAGTTGGCTGAAAACAAATGAGATTAAGCAGAGGACATGCCGATATGAGATATTCTACAGTTAAACTTGACTCGAAATCTAGAATCTATAGAGCCCTAATATACTTAATATACTTATGTAAAAACTGTAATCAACGTAAGGCCAGCCTACAAATTAATTAAAAATTAAGTCGATATTGTCTTCCAGCAAGAAGATATTAACTTGGTCAATAAAACATACATATGTATAAATATATATATATTATATATATATATATATTTTTTTTTTTTAATAAATATAATAATTTTTTTATGATTTTAATTTAATTTATTACAAGAGCGTTTCTGACTAGAGAAATCATTTTTAAAAATTAAATAAATAAATTAGTATTAGTAATAAAATTAAAAATTAAATAAATTAGTAAATATATCAAAATATAAATTTACATTAATTACAAAAAAAAAAAAAATAAAAATAAAAAATAACAAACAAATGCTTTCTTAACACTCAAGTTAAAGTTACTAAAAATATTTTATGCAACTTCTCCCATATAACAACTTATCCCACATAACTACTGAACTTTGTTGGCCTGTGTAATTGCCACTAGTTTAAGTTGAAGATATTCCAATGAGCACGCATTAAGTGACGCAAATCTATTCAACTTGAATCACGTGTACTTGACTTGTGTTTCTAACCAGCAAATGTCTAAATACATGCTCAATAAAACTAGCCATTTTCTAGCTAAATATACATACGTATGTACATATGTATTTATGTGCGTCTCTACGATAATAGCGTGCACACACATGCCTCGCCTATCAATATTTATGAAAAAATAAAAACCAAATAAAATAAAACAGAACCTCGAATACGCCTTCTTGCATGGGCGTCGCTATCATTGGGAAATTGTTGGCTGCATAAATTGCGTTGCATGTTTATTAAATTAAATAACTGCAAGCTGATATATTCACACAGTGTGTTAATGCGACAATTATTATGAACTCGAATTTATAGTACATAAATTTTCATTTAGCCCCAGTCGACAGAGTCACAATTCTGCATAATTATTATTATTTACTGTGGGCTCAACGATATCTGGTTCTAGTTTCAGCTTCAGCTTCAGATTGTGCGCCATTTGCACAGCTGCTGCTGCTGCTGCTATTGCTTTGATTACGCTTCAAGTGCAGCCTAATGCTTTGTGTAGGAATTTTCATTAAAAAAAAGTCAACAATACGAACAAATTCAAATAAAATGTAAATAGAAATTTCGCTTCAAATATGCAAATGAGTTTTTCCTGCGCACATTTTCTAATGGCATGCAGTATGAGCGGATTATTAGAAATTTCTGCTACGCTTCAGGGGAATATACATGAAAGTCTTTTAAGTACATAATTATGAAAATATTTATGTACACATTTTGTAAAGCAAAAACAAATTAAATTCATAATAAAATATCTGTATAAAATTATTGTGAAGTCTAAATATTCGTTTTCAATTGTTGTAAAAATTTTCATGAGCTCGCTTCTAAAATACTCTTAGTCAATCAAATTTATCAAAAGACTTACCTAATATTGCTTTTGGGTTGTTTTTTGGCACAAGTTTCTCGATATATATGTAACTTCAATATATACGTTTTTCTGTAAGAAATAAATAGATGGGAAATTAATTATTATAAAAATATTTATTTATGATATAAGCACAAAAGGGTTCAATAAAGAACTAATCAAATAAACAATTTATCATATAGAAAAGTAAAACCCTTTCCGTAAGCCCCTTCTAACCCACTTACAAATGAAATCTATTCAAACTTTTTACACCAACTGAAAGCCCTTTGACCCAAATTTCGTAGTTCTCACAACTGAATAGGTTTTCCTTATCGCCGCATTACGAAACCCACGTGAATTATTTATAATTCCCATCGCCTGTATCTAAACTAAATGATAATAAAATGTGTTTCCAGTTCAGTCTAGGGTATTTTTGGTGCAGCGCCTGTCTGCCGCATTATCGCTCCCACTGATAAGCGTTGTAAAACGTTAATAATCCATAAGGCTAGAGGGCCTCTCAATCAGTAATTGGGGGCGTGTGAATCAGTTGACAGGTGGCGATAAGTTGCAACAGTTGTCGATAGAACCAAACAGAGAAAGAGAAAGAAAGAAAGAGAGAGGGAGAGAGCGCTGGATTGATAAGCCCAAGTTTTCTTATCGATTTCAATTAAAAAAGACTTTGACTTTAGCATATATACGTTCTATATAAGTACATGAGCATTCAGCACAATCGATTTGACTCAGCATTGTGAGAGACACTAGCCTTGTTTGCTGAACTGGGCTCCAGACCATTTGGATAACTATTGAAACTTTCTTCAAAACGCAATTTGATAGACAAAGATTATTATATAATAATGCTGGAGAACCAAATTGTATGGATTGGATTTCTTAAACTTGTATTATAGAAAATTTAGAATTTTTAAGCTAAATCTGCCATATCTCGACAAGTAATTCCAGGCATATTTCTTGCCTACTCGATTCGATGCGATGTCATTTCATTTGAGTTTTCTTTTGCTGTATACAGAACTTGTTTAGCTTTTGTATTTGTTTACGCTTATATTAATGGCTCTCAAGGGTTCGCTTCGCACATAAATCAGCTGTACAAATAAATGATAAACACTCGAATGTGTCCGAACAACAAATCAAAAACTTATTAAACAGCATAAATTTCGCATTTGCCAAGAGCTAAATTTATCACAGATTCAACTGCAGCGCGCCCCTTGACAAAATGCGAAAGAAAAACAAAAAGAAATATTAACAAATGTGAGCAAGGAAAAAAAATGAAAGTGTCGACGTTTTGGAGGATCGCCGCTCGGATCGTCTTCTGGCATCTGGGGTGTGTTGAGTGCGCAGCACGTCTCACACATTTTGTTGTTCATTTTAAATATGCAATTTGCATGCATGCGCAAATTTTTATTTTATTATTAAGGAAAAAAAAAACAGTCAGAGGATGAACACCAAAAAAAAAGCAACTTCCTTATTTATTTAGGTTTACTTTATTTCCAGCTGGAACTCGACGCACTCGAGCGCATTTAATTTATTATTAACGTAAATTATTTATGCTTTAAGCAACGAAATAATTTTTGGCGTTTCTGATAAATCAATGAATTCACAACAAAGCAGAATCGTTTTGTTAAATAAATTTACTGCACAACAGCTGACATAAATTAAGTGAAATAATAATAACAAGTGAGCCAAAATTTTTTGCTTTACCTCTTTGAAATAATAATTAATAAAATGAAATGCGAATCAAAAATACTTTGAAAATGGAGAAAAGTAAGAGAAGAAAAAGAAAAAGAAGCAAGTGAAAGCGTTCAATAGAAATAATAATATATATTACTCAGCTGATTTATATGGCAGATCAATAAGTATTTTATTTATTTTTATAAGCGACAGAGCGAAGGAGAGAGAGAGAGAGAGAGGGAGAGTGAGAGGGCTGCCACATGCCAAATAAATAAATATAAAATCAGTTGTAAAGGCACTTGAATTAATTGCGGCAGATCTTTTTTACCCATACGTCTACGTAATATGACTGAGGCAACTTTTTATTGATAGGACCGTTAAAGCAAATTGAAAAAGTCAATAAATGGGGCCACAATGCAAATGAAACAGAACGGAGCTACATAGTTCAAAGAGTTTTTAATCAATTGCTAGCGATGCGTGTTTATTGCAATATTAAATGAGCGAATTGTGTCTTTAGCATAGGGTTCAATAGACGCCAGCATTTAGTGCAATAAAATTGTAATAAATATGTAAAAAATACCTCGTAGTTTCAGCTTGATTGAGCTCTCTCAAGTCTCAGTATTATTTCCCAGCAAATCAAATTCAAGTCAAGGTTCATGCCCAACTTGCCCTGAGCCTGGACCTTTGAGGTGTCAAGGAGCCGAACAATAGCACAATTAACGCCAGCTATAAACAGATATTGCGCATACGCCGCATGGCACATGGCATGGCCCAAGTTACGGCTACGTTGCCATTGTGTGTCTGTGGCTATGAAATGCACTCGTATCCTGTGCACAGCATTTTGAAAGCAACTTGTGTGCAGCTGCTAATTTAATAGCCAGCAAACAGCAACAGCAACAACAACAGCAACAACAAGAGAAATATGATTAACCACAGCAGCAGCAGCAGCAGCAGATACAAAATGAATGTTGCAATCTGCATGCAGCTTGGCAACAACAAGAACAACTGCAACAGCTACAGCAACAGCAACAGCAACAACTGCAACTGCAATTGCATGATTTTTGTTTTTGGCCCGTTGCGAGTCATAATGAAACCGAAAGCTGGCAACGTGCATTGGCCAAACAGTTGGCGTAAATTAACGTTCAAAACAGTTGAGTGAGAGACCATTTACACAATTTTTGTTCGTACAATTTTTTTTTTAATTTTTTGCATCTGTAATTTTGTTTTCCCCTTTTTTTTTTTGTGCACACCTCGATTTTTCGCACACTCGTTGAACAGCTCGGCGGCGGCCTGCTTTACGGCTACATTTTGTGACCGTTGCTGCTGTTAAATTTGTCGCTGACTGACTTATCGGCATCTACATAAGGTAAATGCTTTTCATTTGCATTTTGAGCACCGGCTGCTGTTGCTGAGAAAGTCAATGCTGGGCATATTAGTACTGGCTAACGAGCAATTCGCCAAGCATCGGTTAGAAAGTATAGCTAACGGGTTAAGTGTAACTGCCTGCTTTTCATATGTGCGCTCATTGTAAGGTTCATGGTAAATTTGATTTGAGTGCAGCTTAGTTACGCATTTGAGCTTTTGGCTATATGGCGGGTTTTCATATATGTATGTATGTATATAAGTCACTTTTGTTTACTATTGTAAAAATACATATGCATATGTATATACGCTATGTTGTTCATTGTAAAGTTCATGTTAAATTACTTACGATTTTATGTGTTTATATGTGTAACAATACTCTTCTTATTTTTCTTAACTTTTATATATTATACATAATATAAATACATACATAATTATAAAATAATGGATTTCAAAAATCGAATGTCTTAGCAACATTGTAAAATACATAACAATTAAAATAGAATATAACAAAATAATTTTTTATTCCAACTAAATTTTCTGTCTCACATTTCATATATAGTTTGCAAAGTCTAAGATTAATATTAAGTTTTAGTGTTAGCCATTCGATATAACATCTTCATGGTAAGGTTTATGGCAATTGTTAAGCGACTATATTTTATTTTATTTGCACAGCTGAATTTTTTTTTAATACTCAATTTATTATATAAACACAACTGCAATTAAAACTATTTTTATATCAATTTCCGCAATACTTTTCAGAGCAGAAAATATTTAAAAATCCATTTTAATAAAGTGCACATACTACTAAGCCGACTTTTATTCGATTTTAATGCTCATTGTTCGAATATGAAAATTACACTTACAGCGGAGGGTTACGAAAAATGTAATCGAAAAAAAAAAAAATACATAAAAAAAATTGTTGCCTGCTGTGCGGCGAGTTTTCAACACATTAAGAGCAAACGCAACGAAACGATCGTAAATAATATGTGAAATATTATTATGGTACGCTTCAAATAACATTTACATGTTATAATTTTTGGTAGAGTACGTAATTCTTGAGCTCCCCAGCTATGCGGTGCTGTCATGTCTTTGGATTTGTGATCGCCCGCCTACTTTTTACATCATTTATTATGTGGCCAAAATCGTATAATGGCTGCATTTGGATTTGAAATACATTTAACTGAGAAGAGAGAGAGAGAGAGAGAGAGAGAGAGAGAGAGAGAGAGAGAGAGAGAGAGAGAAGGAACAGAGAGGGACAGTTGAACTAGGAATCTAAATCGTTGCATGTTGTGCGCGCGTGTGTGTGTGTGTGTATGTGTGTAAGTGCGGCACGCTTCGTTGCATGCTGCTGCGTTTATCGGCTCGCTCAGCTGCAACAGCAACTGCAACTGGAACTACGATCGCATTGAATGATTGAATGATTGAAGGTAGTCACAGCGCAGGCAAGCAGTTTAAGTTGATTTCTGATTTAGTGTTGTTTTTTTTTTTTTTTTTTTCTTTTAGTATGTATAATAGATACAGGTAGAGAGGCAACACTTGTGGCTACAATTCGAACTGTAGGCGTTGCTGTCTGCTCGCTGGGCTTTTGAGTGTCAAGAACTTGTCTTGGCCATAAAAGAGAAACCGGCAGCAATGTGCACCAAATGCACCAACAGGCCAAATGTAATTTGATTGTTGTTACTCTGGCTCTAGCTGCTGCTGTTGTTGTTGTTGCTGTTGTTAAAGTTCAACCAGTTTCATGGCTGAGCCAAGCTGAGACTTTTATGGTAACTTGCAGAAATCAGCAAAAAAAAAAAGAGTTGGCTGTCAATGCGCAGGTTGAAGTCATGGCTAAATACCTAGGCCATGGCATGTCGCTGGAAGGGCGTTTCTACATGCTCTTTGCCAAGAAGCAAAGCTAACAAAATGGAGCACAGTAAAGTCGTATATGAAGAGCAATAAAGAGCCAAAGCTAGTCTTGAGCAAAACCAGCTCAGCTTTGCTGCTTTTCGTATGTGTGTGTGTGTGTGTGTGTTACTATTCTACATAGATCAAATCGAAAAGTT